ACACACACACACACACACACACACACACACACACACACACACATAAATACTGACTGAAAACAACTTGGGGAGGAAAGGGCTTATTTAGCTTACAGCTCAGTCCATCATCAAGGGAAGCCAAGGCAGGAACTCAGGGCAGGAACCTGGAGCACAGACTGCTTACTGACTTACTCCTCTGGCCTATACACAACCTGCTTTCTTATACAACCCAGGACCACTGCCCAGGGGTGGCACCACCCACGGTGGTCTGGGTCCTTCTACTTCACTCAGCTATCAAAAAAATGTCCCCCAGACATGGCCACAGGACAGTCTAATGGAGGTAATTCCTCAATGGAGGTTCCCACTACCCAGGTGTACCAAGTTGACAACTGAAGCTGTCTAGCACATAATGCCTCTATAATTTCCACATTCAGAGTTCTCACTTTTAACTTCCTGACCCCCTTCACCTCCTCCAGGTGAATTTTGCCTGTGCTCACTTTTAGCCATTTTAGCCTTAACTCAGTTGCCAACTTCCTAGAACGGCTTTTTCTGAGTCATCTATGGTGAGTAGGTGACTAAAGATGTGCTTTGGGGCTGGGGATATAGCTCAAGGCTAGATCATTTGCCACGCATGCTGAATTCCTGGGGTCACTTATCAGTAACACACACACAGACACAGACAGATACAGACACAGACACACACACACACACACACACACACACACATTGCGCTTTAGTCTTATCTCCTTTCCTTGTTTCCCTCCTAGTGCAGACCTACATGGCTCCAATTACATAAGCTGTATAGAAAGGAGGGAAGGAAGAATGAAGAGCAGGTCACCCAGGACACAAGAGTGGAGGATGGGTGTCAGGGTAGCTGAGTGCCAATTCTGACTCAAGCCATATCACTTCTTTGGGTGCCATCTTCCTCTTCTAGCAAGGGTCTGAGCAGACTGTCTTCTCTCATATTTAGAGACCCTTGTTCATAGGTATAGAGTGAGTTTAGAACCATGTTGACTGTCTTTGAAAGCTGTGTCCTTGGGGACAAAGGAGAGTTGGTTGGGTGGGTGAGAAAGATTCCTAGACAGTGCCTTCTTCCCCCTCAGGCTTTCCTGGAGCGGTATTTGGCAGCTGGACCTACCATTCAGTACCACAAGGAACGTTGGCTGGCCAAACAGTGGACATTGGTGAGCGAAGAGCCGGTGACCAATGGGCTTAAGGATGGCATTGTTTTTCTCCTAAAACGCCAGGACTTCAGCCTGGTGGTAAGCACCAAGAAGGTGCCATTCTTCAAACTCTCCGAGGAATTTGTGGATCCCAAGTCGCACAAGTTTGTCATGAGGCTGCAGTCGGAGACCTCCGTGTGACTGTGCAGCAGCAGGAGACTGGGGGTTGTTGGGGCTCCTGCAGAGTGGGAGGGGCTTGGTTTTCTGGCCTGGTCACATTTCTGCAGCCCTTTGTCCTCTTGCTCTTTTTTTTTTTTTTTTTTTTTTTTTACTTGAATTAACTTATCCCTCAACCAGTCCCCATCCCTCTTCTTCAGTTTACCCCACTGAACCTGGAGAGAACATCCTGCTGTTAACAGTACCTGGGAGTCCCTCTGCCCTCTACTTTGTATTACTTCAGGCCCTGCAGGAAACAGTGCCTCTCTCCCTATTCTTTCCCTAGACTTTTCCTGGATGGCAGTTCCTTCTGAAGAAGCACAGGGCCCTCCTGATTGTACCTTACCCCTCAAGTCCCCATTCACAAACCTGAATTCTTAACAGCAGTTCTCTCCAGAGGCCCCTGATAGGGTTCTCTAAGGGGCACAGATCTGACCCCAGAAAGCCACGGTGCCAAACTCCTCCAAGGACAGCAGCTGCCCTCCTGCCAATCGCCTTTTCCTACCTGTAAACCCTGAGTCCCAGAGCAAGAATGCTCCTGCCACATAGCCCCAGAGTTAGGAATCTTCATGCAGTGCTAGTTCCAGCTGTTGGAACCACCCTTCCCAATCCATACAGATATAGAGCAAGGGAAAGTCCTATCCTTTACCCCGGAGTTTCCACTGCTGCTTCTGAGTTGTATGGTCACGTGTGATCATAGGCAAAGTGAGGTGGAAACCCTCCAATCACTTTACCAGGGTTGTGGTAGGGAGGTCTGATGTGTCTTTCTTGGACAACTCCCGAGGAAAAGGGCAGGATAGACCCTTGAGGCCGTAGAGGCCTTTGCCACTGACCCCCTATCTCTCTGAACCCACTGATCTTTATTCCTCTGAGCCCTTCATGCCCACTCTTCCCTGTGAAGGATGGCAGGTAGACTCCTCTGTGGACTTAATAGTGTGTGGCCCTAACCAATGCTGTGGTCATTAGACATTTTACTTTTCTGCCCCAGCCACCCCAGTCCTGCTGACTTCCAGCTCCAGAGACCCGTGGCCTCATCTCTTCGTGGGGGAGGGCCAGCAGCTCCTCCTCATCCCCTGCCTTAAGTCCAGTTCTTTGCCTCAGGGGTCTCTTTTCCTTGTCCTTCCAGGGTCCCATCTCTTCTTTTCCTCCTGATTCTCTGGGCTTTGTGTTGGGATGAGGGACCAGGATGACTGCCTTTGGGGATGTTCAGCTCCTCACCCTATTCTAACTTCATAGGCTTTGCGTGAATCTGAATTCTCAGTAATTTAGAGCCCATTTTGAACAAAATTCACTGGCCCTCTCCTCTAATAGATATTTTTTAGAGCAAATTTGAGCCTTAAATCACATACCTTTAAATAATTTTTTACCACAGGGAAGAGAAGTAGGAAATACCCAAATATATTCTGCCAGGATCCATGCGGAGGCTGAGATGGAGCATCCCTGTGGGCCAGTTCTCTAACTCCCAGAGTCCCTACATAGGGCCTTCACTTCCCTGAAAATTTGCTTGTACTTACTGTGCAAAGCTCACCCGGAGATGAGATACCCACTGATCTCACTGTGAGGCTGTGGGATCTGAAGTGGGAGCCTGGATTTCTACTGTTTATTCTGAAAAAGCACCTCTGTCCCCCACCACTTACTCTTCCATCAGTGTTTACCTTGTCCCACAGGAGTGGGTTTCAGGGCTGACTTAGGCAGGGCCACCTTAGGGTTAGCCTAGGGCTGGGGTGGAGGTTCTTGGTTAGGCTTCCATTAAACACATCGTGCCCTGGAGTCATGGGAAGTTGTTTTTTTTTAAAAAAGAAAAAAAAAAAATCAGGTTTCAGAGGAATCCCTTTTGGGTCACATAAATACCTCACTATCCTGGAAAGCAGGGCCTGGATGGTGACTGGGGTCATTACATTTGTGGGCAAGAATGGGATGTGATGTGGTTTGAGGAGTGGATGGGGGTGGGCAGAAGGAAAGTATTTGGAATCTTACTTAGTTGCTGCCCTAGGTTAGGGGTGCAGGAGTGTTTATTTTAAGAACCTGCCATGTTTTTTAATCACTGTGATATTTTCATTCATTTTTCCTAAAAGAACAACAAAATCCCCCCCCCCCCAACTCTGTCTAAGCACTAAGGGCTGTGACTAAGAATGGTAGCGTTTGGTCCTTTGTGTCAAAACTGTGGTATCTTTGTCTGCTTTGGTTATTATTATTATTTTTTTAATGTCAGGATGAATTGTCAAGTGAATGGCTCTGTGTCTGTGTGTCTGTGTGTCTGTGTGTGTCTGTGTCTGTGTCTTTTGCTTCTCCAGTACGGGAAGTTGTCTTCATGCTGTGAACTGCTATGGGTGGGCAGCTGACTCAGTCTCTCTGAGCAGTTTTCCCCACCGATCTGTCACTCACTTGGTTTCTCATTCTTCCACTGAGGGGATGTGCCTACTGAGTACACACCCAGCCCAACCCCATCACCACAGGGGATGCTGTGCTGGGCTTTTCCAGCTAACTTGTCTCTGTGTGACATCCTCCCACTGCGCCAGTCTGCCTTCCTTCTCATGATGTTGGATGCTTACCTCTCCCCTCCACACCAGGACACAGTGCCTCAGCCCTTCGCCTACCTCGCCACCCTGTCACTGTCCCCATTGATCCTTTCTGCTAGTGTTTCTGCTGTCTCTGTGTATTCCTATTTTTGTCCCTCTAGCCTCTCACTTTTTCTTCCCACTGTCCTCCATCTGAGCCTTACATTTTCATTTCCAAACCCACCTTAGCATTCCCACCACAAACCCTGCACGAGAATGGCAAGGAGACAGGATTCCGGGGAGGTTTTCACCCGATGTCTGTTTCCCGGGGTTTGTGCTCCTCCTGTCTGTTGGGCTTATTTCACCTTGCCCCTTCCTGATGTCTATCAGTCTGTCTTCTCTTTCCTCTGCTCTCCCTGTGGGGCAGCATCCACTGATGGATTCCGTTCTGGTGTGTGATTGTTGTGATTTGTTTTGGGCGCAAAAGGAAGGGGGCGCTTTGAGTCTCTTTCAAGTGAGATTGTAAATGTAGAATTTTCCGTTGTTGGATCTAGATTATTTTTCCTTTTTCTTTTTCTTCCCCCTTTCCTTTTTCTTTTTGTTATTTTTGGTTACAGAGCTGAGACCCTGTGCATGCATGTAGAAAATTGTAAAATGTAAATTTTTTTTAATATATAAAAAGTTTGTTTTTACAGTTTGCAGTGGATTAAACATTATGGCAATTTTAGGATTTTTTTTCATAAACATAGGAACTAAAACTGTACAAAATTTTTTTTATATGTAAAATAAAGACATTTGACTTTTGTGGGGGCATTCTGTTGCTTTTTTTTTTTTTCAAAGTGGGAGCTAAAGAGGGTCAGGGAAGAGTGAAGTTGTGACTGGGCAGTAGGGGGCAGTGTGAGCCCGATGGTGCTCCACAGGCCCCAGGCTGCATGGTGAATGAAGGGAAATGAAAGAAATTGCTTGTTGTTGACCTTGTTTCTGAGGATAGAACCGTGATGGTTCCTCTGCTCCCTGGGGTGCTTGTCAAGATAGGGAGGAAGGGAAGATTACTCTTAGCCCTATCTTCCCTAATAAGCTTGTGTGGGCATCACCTCTAGGCGAAGGACGAGAGTAGAGTTTCTAAGCTGTTTTGCTAAAGCAGAAAATGCCATGGGAATTTTAGGGAGTAGCTGATGTGACAGCACCTCACATTTCATTTATTAAAAAGCTCCAAACTATCTCTGATCTACTTATTTATTTATTTTTAAGAGTTGGGATCTGGAGTCTAGCATGGTAGTCCACACCTCTAGTTCTAGCACTTGGGAGGCAGAGACAGGTGGACCTCTGTGAGTTCAAGGCCAGCCTGATCTATATAGTGAGTTAGTGAGTTTGAGGTCAACCAGGGGTACACTGAGACCTTGTCTCAAAAAAAAAAAAAAAAAAAAAGAGAGAGAGATGGAATCTTGGGGCCGAAGAGATGGCTCAGTGGTTAAGAGCTCTTGCAGAGGACCGGATTTCAAGTCCCATAACCCACATTGGGCCATGACTCACAACCACCTGTAACTCCAGCTCCAGGGGATCCAGTGCCTTCTCTGGCCTCCAGACACTGCACTCACATGCACCATTCCCACATAGACATGTAATTTTAAAAGGTTTTTTTTTTTTTATTTAAAAGATCCAGAAAAACAAACTATAACAAAAGGAAACAAGGGCTGGATGTGATGCATGCCTTTAATCCTAACACTTGGGAGGCAGAAGCAAGTCGTCATAGTATGTTCCAGTCCAGCTGTAGCTACACAGAGACACTGTCTCAAAAGATGAAAAAAACTAAAAAAAAAAAAATAAATAAGAGAGACGTGACATCTTACCACCTACCAACTTGGCTTTGAACTCCTGGGTTCCACTGACCCTTCTGCTTCAGCCTTCTGAATGCTGGGACTACAGATGCATATACAGAGCCTGGTTTGTCTTTTAATTCTAAACATGTGGACCCTGTTCATTCGTCAGTGTGGCTTTTGTGATACAGCACTAGCTTCAAGGGATCATGAACCTTTTCCTACCTTTACTTATGACTTCAGGGACTGTCTTCTCTTCTTCCTCCTCTTCCTCCTCCATTTTTTTTTAAAGACTGTGCTATGTGTATTAATCACTTTTCTGTTACTATGATAAAATGCTATGACCAAAACCAACTTAAGGAAGAGTTTATTTTGGCTTATGATCCCAGAGGTCTACTTGTCCATAATGATGGGGAAGACATGGCAGCAGGTGGCAGGAACAGGAAGCTGTGAGATCACCTCTTAACTGCACACAGGAAGCAGAGAGAGAGAACTGGAAATAGGGCAAGGCTATAAACTCTTAGTGTCTGTGCCCCCTAAAGGTTCTATAACCTCTCCAAAGACAGTCAACAACAGGGGACCAAGTGCTCAAGTACATCAGCCTATGTGGGGCATTTCTCATTCTAACTGTCACACTTTGTAATCCGGGCTGGTCTCGAACTCACTGTATAACCTAGGCTGGCCTCAAACTTGCTGAGTACTGAAATTAAAGGTGTGCCTTATCATGCCAGGCTCCTAAGTATTCTAAAGTTAAGAGCAAATGAGCTTAAGCTGTCCTGTGTGGAGTTGACACATTTACTGGATCTTGTCCTCCTTTTCCCCTTGCCTCATGTCTTTGCCTGGCTCTGCAGATGCAAACACAAAAGAGACTATGTCTTGTCTTGGAGGAAGACCCAA